GCTGGCTGATGAAGAAGAACCGGCACGGTTTTAGGCTCTTCAGTACTTCAAGCTCTATGGGAAGAAAGCATCTCCCTGCACTACACTCCAAGCCTTACCCTGAAACTCCAGAGGGTTGTGAGTGCATAAAGACCCCTGTAAACTGGGTGTTAGAAGGAACAGCATGGCACGCTCAGGCTGACAGTACTTTTGAAAAAGGACACTGGGTTCCTCAATCACCTGGACCCTTTAAGAAAACAGCCCTTCCGCTACTGTTTCCTCGGGCTCCCCCGCGTACTCTCGGCTGGGCACACGGAAGAGGTGGCCGTGCGTCAGGGCCTTTCACCCGTCTCCTGGTTGTGCTGTGCCTCCCTATGGTGCAGCAACACCTCGCTGCTAGCAAGAGCACCGTGCCCCTGTTTCCTTCCTCTTTTTCTTGGCGACAGCCCCCACTCCTCCCTGCACATTCGGCCTGAGGTAACCGCAGTGGTGTAATAGCGCAGCGATCTCCCGCGTGAGCTGCTGGAGCAAGATGTGATGCACTGATACAAAAAACCGCCTCCTCTGCATCTGAACTTAGAGACCTGGCGTGGTGTACGCTGGGCAGGCTGGGCGCTGACTCTGCAGTTGCTCTTCCCTTGGCAGAGATCAAAAAAGCTCTGAAGGTTACAGTGACTCTCACCTATGTGGTAGATGAGACCTACAGAGCTCACAAGGCAGCACTCCGCTGTGGGTAATGGGGTCCTTTGTCATCTTGATTTCATCTAAACACAAGTCAAAAATAGATACGTTTGAAAAAAAAAGAAAAATAAACTCCAGATCATGAATGTCAGGAAGAACATCGCAAAATACAAGCCAGCCTTTCACTGATCAAAACCATCCCATGCCCTGCAAGCCTCCTCCCAGCCAGTTCGGCCTCACCCAAGACGTGTTCTCCAGCCGTGACTATTCATTCACCACCAACTAAGGCCCAGCCAGAGACCCAGCGAAGGCCACAGCCTGAGGTCACAAGGTTGCCAGCGGCAGGGCGGATCAGAGGGTCTCACTGTAGATGACGCACGGGCTGGTTTCCTCGCAGAGTTCCAGCTGCACGCTGGAGGCAAACCAACGCTTGGCACAACCCAAGCTGTAGTTGAGGGTGGTCCGGTAAATGTTCTTGGCACGCTTAGGAAAAATGATGGTCGTGCTCTGAAACCTCAGCGGCTTCTGGCGGGGCTCAAAGATCAGCTGGGACTTGTAGTTACGCCAGGTACAGTTGGGAGCAGCGATGACGGTTTCGCTGTAGGTGGTGACGGTGGGGATGGGGCCGTAGAAGATGTCATCCCGATAATGCTTCTCGGAGTCGTACTTCACTTCGGAATTGCACCTAGAGAGGACAGCAAGGAATCAGGAACACAGCCCAGGCAGCAACGGAGAGAAGACAGACAGGACTCTAACCCTTTGGACGTCTTTGTGCACAGACACTAGGGCGGCTGCCAACCCTACAACCCAAAGCGGAGGGCCAAGAGGATGCTTTCCTGCTGGCAAATCCTGGTGGAACCCCACCTTGCTCTGAATCCATCTCTGCATTTCTGCAGTGCATGGGCACAGAGGACCACACCTGCCTGGTCATGCCAGGGCAGGAAAGAGCTTGTTACACAGGCTCCAAGCAACCCGCTTCTTCCTCTGGTTTCGGAGCCTCAGCTCAGCCCTGACAGCTACACTGGAGGCCAACACCCTGTTAACAAAGGACATCAAGAGGTGGTGAAACCCCTCAACCGACATAGGTCAGAGGCTGAGGAATGGACATTCATCCATAGACTGTGCAGGAAACGCTTGAAATCCCAGGAAAATTCTTGATCCAGCCTTTTCCTGAGCATTTTTAACAAGCACAGCCATGCAGCATCAACTTGAGCTGCGAAACAAAGGACCCCTCACCACTGAATCATGGTAGGTGTGACCATGTCCCCTCCTGCAGTGCTAGGCTTGGGGGGTATCACTGCCCCAGTGATCAGGCTGAATAGATGCTGCTGGTGGGTCATGGACATGAGATGTCACCCTGGGGTTAGGGGGGACCTACTTCTCAACACAGCACGCCTGCTGCTGCTTTCACAAGCCCTGTTGGCCATGCAAGATCTGCTTGGCAGGAAAATAATGCTGAAAAGAAGGTTTTCATGGATGGCAGAAGCAGTCATGGACACGTTGAGTTCTCAAGGCTGCGTGTCGGTCTGCTTTCCTTTATATTGCCTTGCCATCAGAGCACAAAGATGCCCAAGCTAGCTAAAGTCAGAGTGCTGGGAGATGAAGGGTGAGGCTGCTTGTTGGGGTCTACAGAAAATCCAAGCAGTGGCCAAACAGCAGGAAAAGCAAAGAGATGCTGTGGGCTACGGCTGTCCGGTATCCGAGCTGTTGCTCTTAAGGATGTGGCCATGTTAACAGCCCTCAGATGAAGAACCCCCGAAATGTGGGATGTCACTGCCCTTGTTTTCTGCAGGCATCCAGGAGGGATGTATGGACACCAGGTCACATAAAGGGCTTTTCCTAGAATCCCTGGCCATGGGGAGCAGCAGGACTTTCACTTGTTTTCCCCAGCTTCCCAAATGCTCCTCTGGCAATCAGCAGCCAAGGAGTGTGCAGCTCCACGTAAAAATAAAAAAAAAAAAAAGATTAAAAGCTGGGTGTGTGCTTGTCATTACCTCCAGCCGGAGGGGGCTGACTGATTGCCCACCACCTGTAATCTGAGCTGCTGTAATGCGTTTTGCACAGCTAGGGTGTAAGCAACTCTTTCAGCACACGTAAAACAAGACCCCGATGTAATCGCCGTAAAACCGTGCCCGCTGGCAGTTCCTCTGCACGCAGAGATTTACCGGGGCACGCTTCCAGAGAGACGTTTGCACAGGCTGAGGGGGGTGGGAATTGGGTCTGCAGTCCTCCCACCGACCCTGCCCCAAGCTGCAGGTTCCAGGCTGCTCGCAGAGTACATTCCGCGCCAGAAAAAGAGCACAAGAAGAGCAGATTGATGTATCAGCCACAGCACCGGCCCCACGGCAGGTCAGGACGCCTCCATCGCTGATTTGAGGGACCCTCTCCTCACGAGGAGGAGCTCCTTCTGTCTCTGCGGGCCACTCTAACGTTGGTTTCTCTGCCGCAAGGGCTAATAGAAACAGGTGCCAATGGTAAGGGTTTTGCTTCTGGGGATACAAGTCAGCAGGGAACAGGCTGAAGACCCTCAGATTACCTGGTGGAGGCCAACAAGCCTACAGATGGTAATGGTTTTCTCTTGGATTTGAGCTGGCCTTGGAAGGAAAGCCTTCTCTTGAAACCTTCCTCCAGTTCTTGCCTCCTCCCCTCCCCCTCTGCTGCTGTGGGTGTCTTTAATTCAAGGCATTGCTCTCCTACCTGCCCCCCCCTTCCCATCAAAATATCCATGACTCCCATTTGTAAACACATTTTACTTTTTTGCAGAAGGAGAAACACCAGGAAAAGGACAGAAATCCCCACCTACCCATCCGATCCCATCTGTACCTGATTTCCTGCACGGGCTCGGGGCTGACCTCAATGCTTTCTCCAAAAAACACAGGGTACATCCGAGGCCTTATCTCTGGCGTGGATGGGTTCAGGAGCAGGTAAGGCATCTGTAGGGAAGAAGAGCACAGCAAGTGTTGGGACAGAAAGATAAGGCTGGCAGGGTTCATTGTGTGCTGTGGCCAGCAGCAGCACGTTCAGCACTGGCAGGAGACACCAGTGCCTCCAACCCTGCTGAATTCCATATCCTGAGTCCCATGGGAGACACTGCAGGTGACAGGCTCTCTGGCATGACAGCAGGTGACTGGCAGCACCAGGAGCAACTTTTGTTTCATGCCAGCTAAGCTTGCCTTGCTTGCACTCAGCATCATTCAGCTCCCCTCACAGTCCGTCTTCTCCAGGTTTGTCACACAGCCCCAGGATAGCACCGAGGAAGGTGCTCTTCATGCAGACAGCTCAAAGGAGAAGACCGCTGTCAAGCTGCCAAAAAACCAGCCTTAAGGCGGTTGGCAGAGAACGGGACCATTAACCCCCATCCTCGCACAGACAGGTCTTGTACAAGCCTCGCATTTCAGACGCCTTGGCATGCCGATCCGCCACCTGCGCCTGTTTCTACGGGCTGAATTCCAGCTCCTAGGGCTGATGCGACGCAGCGGGCTGCCCCCCACCCACCGACACCACCACCCTCTCCACCTCCCTCCACCCAGGTAAGTGACTGCCCAGATCTCTGGCAAAACGCTGCAAACCTGTCCACTGAAATTCAGCACACCCCCCCAGTCCCTCCTTGTTTCTCATAGCAATTGCAATTGTTTGGGGGTTTTCTTTAGCCCTGATCTCGCCTTCACTGCTGTGAATCAACCATTCTTACAGAGTCTGAGTGCACCAGCATGGAGAAGTGCTCTAAGCCTGATGGGACGCAGAAAAAGGGCCTAAGTCTGTTGACTTAGTATGTCTACTTAAGTGAGATGTGTGTATGTATTTATATATATATGCTGAAAATAACGTATCCCTTGCAACGATCCAGTGGGGAAGTGGTAGACTTGCTGTTGCTGAAGTCTCCGTGCCACAAGTGGCTGTCATGCTGTAGTTAACCCTGCACAACCCGGTGTGGGGTGAGACGTGGGGCACCTGGTGGCCTCTGCAATGCAGGAAGCCAGTTTCAAGCCAGGACTTTTTCATGAATGGAGATGCTCCAATTCATGACACTGAAAACTGGATTTTGAAGACTAATTCCACCCTGAAGTTACTTACTCTGAGAAATTGTTCACAGTCCAGCCTAGGCTCCTCTGCCCACCACAACCACTTCTCTGTACTGGAGTGCTCTTAAACATCAGTTCCCACATCCAGGGATCCTGTGTCTGGACCAAGCCCAGCAGCTAATTAAGCCTAATCCTGCCCTCCTGGAAAAATGTCATTGCAGGGTTTGGTCCCTGCCACCGCTTGTCTGCCGGCAGCAATTTATAAAATACAGGGACACAGGATCTGTGTAAAGGAGATGGCTGGCAGCCTCTGTGCAAGGTTGAAAGGTCCCTAGAAGGCTGAAAAGCTCCTGGGGGTTTTGTACTTTCCACCCTGAAGAGGCTGTGTGCTCTAGAATCACAGCCATGTTTCATCACTGGAAGTCAGTCAGATCATCTCAGGACTCACAGAATCTGCTGGAGGTAGCTGAGGATACAGCTCTTGTATTGGCTTGCTCTTCCCATGCCATTCCTTTCCACCTTCCCCAGCACCTCTTGGTTGGGTGGTACAGGAGGGACCACGCGAGCTGCGCCGGGTTACTACTGGGAGTGCAGGGTGAGAGATGCCCTCCCCCGTACACCATGCAGGTCTGCAGATGCTCACCAGCTTATCCCTCAGGCCAGCGTTAACTGGCAAAGCTCTGCTGATTCCACTCACCAGCATCAGCTCCCACTAGTTGAGGTCTGGTTTTCTCTAGCGGCTTGGGCTTTGTGCCTTAGGCTAAGGCAGAAAATGTCATCTGAATTCGCTAAGCCCTTCAATTCTGGGTCCCAAAGCCACAAAGCTGTTTACTCTTTCCATACTGAAATGTCCCTGCACTTTACTACTGTGTGAAACTGTAAAGTAAAATGGCCAACCCCTCTTTTTGATTGAATATTACTGTTCCGTTGTCAAAAAAGAACAGTATTTGCATGGCTGGGGGGGAGAAGATATGTTCATCCTCACTAGCAAACACTGGCCAAAAGGCAAAGTTCATTCCTGGATTGCTTTCAACACTCCTGACAGGGGAGGGCAAGGTCAGCCTCTCTGGTCGTAAATAAAGCTCTTTTCTTCTGAAATGTGAATTGTTTAGATCAGACAAGCCTTAGTTCACAAGGGTGCAGATCCCCAGCTTTTAACAGGCTGCACATGGCCAGACATCTTATACGTGAGGAGAGGTTCACGTGGGTGCTGGGGATACGTGCCCCTCCTTCCAGAGACTCTTCTCTCTCTCTTTAGACTCCCGTGGCCATACCCAACGTTGGCCACCCCGCAGCTCAGAACCTGCCCTCTTTTTACACTGTGCCCACTTACGGAGAGCTCTTATCCAAAAGGCCCCAAACTAGTGTCTGCTTGCAGATGAGGTGACAAAATTACCATCTCTGATCCTCCCTTTGGGAGGTTCCACTTTGGGCACTGGGAAAGCTCTTCTGTGGCTTAACAGGAACGCTGCTGGGGCATCTGGCCGTGTGCTGGGCGTGCAGGATGGTGCTGGGGCATTTGGCTGTGTGCCGGGGGTGCAGGAATGGTGCTGGGGCATCCAGCTGTGTGCCAGGGGTGCTGGCACAGAGGCAAATGCCGTCTGTGGAAATCACAAGGCCCACAGCAGGGAACAGGAAACAAGAACATGCTGCAGAAACACTACCAGTGTGCATGGAGAAACAGTGGCTCTGCCATGCATGACTGAATCAATCCCAGTCAAAAAGCTGCCACAGCAATTGGTGAGAGCAGGATTAAGTCTTCTCCAGGTTAGCTCTGGACGGATGGGTGATGAGACTGTTCCCATGCGGGTTAGAGTTTACCTTGCTCTGGGCCGGGAAGGGTGACAAAAGGCATTTCATAACGCATTTCATATGTTGTAAATGAGCACTCAACTTGACACCTGCGGGCTTGTCTTGATTCATTTAGAAAGCTGGAAGAACTGCAGACATTGGCAAGCCAAATCCAGCAACTTCTGCCCCCGTTAGAGACCATTACAGATCCACGCTTATCTACCACTAGCAGGACTGTGAGCTGCTGCAGTCACAAACCTTCAAGTCACCTGGAAGCACATGGAAGGTGTAAATAACTTCCAAAGCACAGTCTAAAAACAGAGATCACCTGTAAGACCCTGCAGCCTGCTCACCAAACAAGCAACTGCTTGAGCGGCGTGAAAGGGTCACTAAACAGTAAGCACAGGTTCTACACAGCAGCTGAAAGGCTCTGCAGATGACACTTGGTTTCATCTCCAGTGATGGCCTGAAATACCTGCTCCTGCATCTCACCTGGAGCTTGGAAGCAAGGAAAAGGGGATATGAGGTTTCCAAAAGATTTGTCTTTGGGGCTTGAAACGTTATATGCTTGGCACGTGTCAAAAGCTGGCTTTTTGGCAAGAGTCTGACACCAGCTCCTTCCAATCTGTTTTAAGGTAAAAACAAAATAAAAATGCTCTGCCTGTCCAAAAAAACCCCAAAAACCTGACCCAATTCTTTTTCCTTCTGCAGAAGAATGGTTGAAAGAGAAGGAACACTGGACTGCTGAGCTCCCGGAGAAAATTATGATCCTTGGCTCATTTCTCGCAATCCCTCAGCGATCCCCGGATACTTCACAAATCAGGTGAGTTCTTTATGGCCCTCCACCACAGATGGGCTGGGCGGGAGCAGAGCTTGTTGCACACTACTGGGGGTCACTGACAGTGAAGAGGAGAAACCAGGCTGCCCACAAGTGATCCACAGTCGAGGTCTGTCGATCCAAAGCACAAACCCTAGGCTTGACCTCGGGATTAATCCGTCCCCAGTAACTGGAGCTGTGCTGCTACTAGATGCAGCTCTGCAAAAGTCACTACAAACCTGTAATCTTTATGCAGGGAGAGGGGGAGTCTGATAGCCCAGTAAGCTTGAAGAGGTGAAAGGGAATATACTGGAGAGATCAAAAAGTGAGGCCCATGCATAAACATTATGTCCTCAAAGGTGAAAAGGGACACCATGCACTAGACCAGGTTGTTACAAGCCTCATCCAGCCTGGCCTTGGATAGGAGCGTAAAACGCCCCCCCACCCCCCCCCCCTGCCATGGGCAGGGACACCATGCACTAGACCAGGTTGCTCCAAGCCTCATCCAGCCTGGCTTTGGACACTTCCAGGGATGGGGCATCCACACCTTCTCTGGGCAGCCTGTCCCAGTGTGTAAATTAAGCCATAAATGTGCTATCATTTTTATTTCCTTTCCAGTATGTAACTTCTTTCAACCAGCAAAGGGTTACAGTATTATTCAAAAGTTGAAATTATTTCTTGTTTGGCTGCATTTTTCCTTCTCTCTTAACTCTGATGCCTTTCAGACATGTAACGGCCTGGGCAGCTAAACTCAGCTTTTACAAGTAGCACATAGATAAACACAGATAAAATTGGTTGCTGAACGGATTTCCATCCAGAGCTGCCCAACAGCACTTCCTTTATGCTGGCCTAAGAACCACGGTGGGCTCTCGCTTTAGCACAGACACATGTCCTTCAGCTCCTGTCATTGCTTCGTGCCTGCCACGAGTGCCTTCTCAGTGACTGGTCCCTGGGTCTTCAGATCACAGGGTTCTGAACAACAGCAACAGTCATACAGTGGGCAGAATAATGCTGGTTTACCCCTAATAATCATGCGGAGTGGGTGGGCTCTGTTAATTCTCATTTGGGCTAATTTCCAAGAATGGAAAGAGAGTTATCAAATAGTAAACAAAGATGAGGGAAAAAAGTGCCATGACACTGGCCTGAAATACACTGACTGCTCCTCAGCTTCCAAACTGCAGGCAGCAAAGCAACAAATAGGAAAGGAAATTAACCTGACATGAAATAAACCCCCAAAACCCCTTTCCCCAGAGAGCAAGAAGAACCAGAACCGACCAACTCCTTTTGCTATGATCATGCCGTG